ATTGACAGACGAACTCTGGCAAAACGCGTTTATAGCACACAGAGGAAGGTCTAGATGCGCTTCCCACTTAGAATTAATCCGTAAAATACAATACAGATGGTACATGGTCCCTTCCAGACTAGCGTCTATCTACCCCAACACGTCTAAGAATTGTTGGAGATGCGGGAGGGAGGAAGGAACGATGTACCACATATGGTGGATGTGCCCTCTTATCACAGATTATTGGGAGGAAATAAGCAACATAATTGCAATCGCTCTACAACAAGCGGGGAAAATAGAGCCGGAATGTGGACTCCTTTTCATGACCTTAGACAATCTCCCAAAACTCCAAGCTTTCTTAATGTTCCACATCCTAATCGCAGCAAACTTACACATAGCAAAAGCGTGGAAACAGACAGAAACCCCGAGCATAGACGCAGTGATCCAACAAATCACAACGAACATAGACTACGAGACAAGGATACACACAGGACTCACAATACAGGAATATAGGACGGGAGCCAAACAGAAGTGGGAAAATTTCCTAGCGAGACACGACAAGGAAAGCAGGGGTAGGAACCAGTTAGCAACACAATAGCAGACAGCAGAGATTCAGCAGCAAGGGAGGCGGCCACAGCTATATAAGGAAGGGCACACACAACCCTTAAAGGACAGGACAGGACTAAGGGAGAGGACACCCACACTGTACATAGTTGAGTTAGTTGAAACCCAATGTTAACAAAAGGAGACAGATAGAACATCCGCTAGCCGCCAGATAGCATGATGCAGTACTGGTACCACACAACAGGCGCACAAAAGAACCAAGAAGCCTCAGGGCTCACGAGACTTGACAGAGAACTCTTCTGGGGCTAGCCAGGGAAAATAACAAATCCTCCCCCATTCCTCCCCCCCTATCTAACCACCTCCCCCCCTAGCAGCAACCTCACTGCACTCACCAGGTGCGCTCCTAGGAGCACCGAGACCAAAGAAGTCCCAGAACAAGGGGCAGCATAGACAACCGAGGCAGAAAGACGGACCAAATCACGCAAACAACATTAGATAGATGGCAGGATCTGACACAAATCTCGCCGGAAGGCGATTAACGATGATGGTTACTATTGTTGTTTCTAGATAAACCAGGTTGTTCATTGTTTATTGTTAGGCAAGCATGTACAACAATGTAATATACTGATGGGAACTGTACGATGGTGATGATGCTACAACCCTATCCCTTCTTTCTTCTGTACCCCACGCAAACCAAAAAAAAACCAATAAAAATTGTCAAATTGAAAAAAAAAAGTTCTTGTATTATATACAGTCTGTGAACATATTTCATAAATAACCTTATGTATGTCTGATCTAAAAGACTAAGAAACCGCTTATTGGTTGTTTCCTGGATATCTTAAGCAATTTAGAATTTTTTGGAAAATTGTATTGACATTTGCATCAAATATTAATATTTGCTTTTATCCTATCATTTTCTTTGTCTTATTCCCTCTTTCCTATCCTTTGACAGACACATTTTGTGACTATCAGGATTAATTATACACTACAGTAGTGGACTATACCTTGACTGTTCCAGAATTTTAGGAGACATTTTTTGTTATTATTATTTCCTCTTGACAGAATTTTCACCCTCCTGTACACCTTGTTATTTGTATAAAACGAGAAGAATTTGAATGGTAACTAATTTTGGGACTTGTGATTTGGGTTCTGGGTACCTGCGATCTTTGCGAAGGCTTTCTGTAGATTATATTACCTATTCTTCCTATTATCCTTAGGTGAATTTCATCATTGTCGCTACAGTGTTTCTTTCCTATGCTTGTAGCGGTTATTCTGCTTATTACTTTTTTGTGAGACTTTTTATTGAGCTTTTACTTAGTAGCAGTTACTTGCATTTATTAAACTTATTGTTACGCTATCCGATTTGCAAAACTTACAAATACAGTGGATATTTTTCACTACTATTTATTTGTGAATTACTGGCAAGTTATGTTGTTTTATATTGCAGCCCCTATACGGTTTCCATTTTTTCGAGGATTTAAAATTTTTTTTTAAAAATCTAGAGTCGGCATCATTTCATTATATAATAAAACATACATTTTAACAAACCCTATCTATTTGATAGATGTTTCTAAACAGTCATTTACAGTGATGTCCAACTCTTGTCAGTGTCAAGTGTTACCATATACGGTTATGGGACCATCAAGCAATAGCCACATAACCTGACATTCATTATGCAACATCCAGAGCATCACAGAGAACTGAACTTTACCTAGTATGACCATTAACCTTTGATGATTAAGAATACAGTCGGCATGTGTGAGATATGCTGCACGTGCCCACAAAAGAGAATGCAAAAGCACTGATGGATCATCACTTCAAGAAGAATTAAAATGGTGGTCACTGGGAAGATCTAGTGACAAGTACAATAAAGAATAAAATGAAGTAAACAGAGGATCAGAAGAAAAGTAAAGGTACTGCTGGCACTAGGTATACACAAAGGGTCAGAGGATTGAAACCCAAAAAAAGTCTGTGACAGAGCTGCTAAATAAAAAAATTAAAATACATTTGCATAAGTTTTTCTCTAAAATAATTCCATATTGATATTAAACCCAGTGTTCAGCAACACATCAAATAGCCATTCCATAATGCCAGCACTCTAGGTCTTAGAAATAAAAATATTCTTTATTGTTACATCAATCCAATAGTCAACGTTTCAGTTCAAGCTCTGAACTGTCTGCAGGGCAGGGGAGGGCTGGCAGCCTTAGGCCTGGGGGGCAAAACCAGTCAAGTGGCCATTTGCACCACCAAATCAGTTCAAACTTCCATGCCCACCTTTTCCTGGTTTTATAACGGATATTGATGTTATGCTAATCAGTAGCTCTTTGCTATACCCACTCCTTCACGGCTCTGACTTTCAATGTTATCAGAGCGCAGGCTAAGAATCTCTGAGCCTATGCTCTGACTCACTAACTGAGCGCCGGAACCACGAGGGAGAGGCTATAATCTGACTGCACCTACTGCTGGTGTGCACCAGTGGACCACCAGCGAATCGTTTAAACTGAATAGGCTGGTGTCCCCAACTTGTGAGCTGTGTTGGGCGCCGGGCGCCTCTATTGTGATGGCACCCTGCGTTACCGCACAGCGTGCACACCCCAACGGCTGGCCCTGCTGACACACACTGATGTTACTACTTAGAAATCCCTCAATATTAATACAGACATCAGAGTAAACACCAATAAACTGTGGAAACAGAGCTGATCCCCCCAAATTTATAAAGATTTGCTTACTGGATTTGTTGAAAGATTAAATCATGCCTCCTCCTCTCTCTCTCCCATGCGCTGCTCTGTAGGCTGGGAGGAAGTGAAGAGTAATCACATTCTCCCAGCACAGCGGCACCTGTGGCTGCATGGGGAACAGCTGAATTTGCCACCCCCCCCATGTGACATCACAATGCCCCACCTATATGATTTGCCATATGAACTAACGCCAGTGCTGCACACAGTGTGTGTTTACATTAAAAAGCCTGCAGGGACAGGCTATAGACAACAGAACCACTTCGTTAAGCTGAAGTGGTTCTGGGGACTATAGTGTCCCTTTAATGTGAGATAAATTATAGATTAGTGTCACTAATAATATACTAGATTGCCTACTTACAACCAAATGAGGTTGATGATGGGCTGCAGTTTGGCTCCACTGGTCTGGTGTAGAACAGGATCTCTGGAGGCTGTTTGCAACTGTGGTCACAAAATTCAATGATCTGGGAGAATTGGAAGCAGTTTTTTTGGGGGCCCCTTACAAAGCTCAAGGTCTGGGCCCCAGGGCCTGATGGTGAGTATGCCCATAAGGCCCACTCATAAGTCCACTTATATGTTCCACCCACTCATGAGTTCGCTCACAGGAAGTGGAGTGTGTAGGGGATGTGTTATGTGTTATTGTAGAGGATCTAATATGTGTGCTTAGGTATGTAGTGTATAGGAATACCAGTTTGTGTAGGTGATGCAGTGTGTTTGTGTGTAGTGGAAGCAGTGTGTATTCATGTATGAGGGATGTATTGTATGTTTCTGGTTGTCTGTATGGGATGCATTGCGTGAATCTGTGTTTGTATGCATAAGGGATGCAAGGTGTGTGTCTGTATGTGTGTGCATTGAGTATGTGTAAGAGATACATTGTGTTTCTGTGTGTATGTAAGAAAAGCAGTGTGTCTGTTTGCATGTGTGTGTAAGGGTTTGCATTGTGTGTTTCTGTGTATATGTGCAAAGGATGCATTGTCTTTGTGTGTAATGGTTGCATTGTGTGTGTGTAATGGATGCATTGTGTTTCTCTATGTGCAAGGGAAGAATTTTGTGTTTCTGTGTGTGTAGGGATGCATTGTGTGTTTCTGTGTATGTATAGAGATGCATTGTGTGCATCTCCCCTGCCTTTAGTGGTCTCTCCTCTCCCCCACCCTCCCCTAGCGGTCTCTTCTCACACTCACCCACCCTGTGCTCTTCTCATCCCCCCCTCTCCCTCCATGTGTTCTCCTCAACTCCCCCCTCCCTGTGTTCTTCTTACCCCCTATCCTCCCTGTGTCATCCTCATCTCCCCTTCTCCTCACCCCCCTCCCTGTGTTCTTCTTACCCCCTCTCCTCCCTCTGTCCTCCTCACCTCCCCCCTCCCTGTGTTCTCCTCACCACCCACCCTCTGTTCTTCTCAGTCCCCCTCGCTCTCCCTCATCTCCCTTCTCCTCACCCTTATTCTCCCTCCTCCTTGTGTTCTTCTTACTCCACCCCATTCTTCTTACTCCCCCTCCTTCTGTTACTTCCCCCTTTCAGTTCCCCTCTTTTCTTATTCACGAGCTGATTAGAGGAGTATAGTGTACTTCCTGTCAGTCAGGCCGGTACAGGAAACAGAAACTCCTCGCGGAACAGGAGTTTCTGTTTCCTGTACCCGGCCGGACTGACAGGAAGTGCACACTGAGTGTGCACCTTCCTATCACTCCGGCCCGGGCACCGCGGACCGGAGAGGAGCTCGGCCACGCTACAGGGAAGGGGAGGGGAGGAGAGAAGCAGCTGCAGCCGCCTGAGGCACTTAACAGAGCGCTCAGGTGGCTGCGGCATTAGGACCGGCCCTGCAGCGGCCGGTTTTAAAAGGATTTAGGGTGGCCTGGGGGGCAATTGCCTCCCTGCCCCCCGGCCCAGCACGCCCCTGCTGCAGGGTATATATTTATATATGTAGAGATTGTAGCCGTATTAGTCCTGTGATGTAGATGTAAAAAATAGATAAAATGTGTATCTTACATTTTTTATTGGACTAACAGAATTTTTTAACGACAAGCTTTCAAGAGAATCTCCCTTTCTCAAATCTAAAGCATTTCTGAGCAAGACGACAAATAGAATTCAAAGTTGAGTTTTGATACAGGGGTTAAAAAATATATAATGTTTTATAGAAAGCTGCACATAAAAATAATAATAATCTCTCCTTAGCCATGCCCCCTCAGGAGAGACTTCCTTATCAGTGTACGTCCACAGCTCAGCCCATAACAGCACTGAGCGAGCTGCTTTTAATTCACAACCTGGTGGCAGATAACGAAACTAGAGAAAAACAGGAAATGATATCCTCGCTGAGTGTTATCTTCTAATGCAGAATGGTTTGTAGTGCAGTTCATCCAGTGCTATCAGTGGCTGCGCAGTGTACATACATTTTATAAGGAAGTGTTTTTCCTGAGTGAGGGTGTGTGTCTAAGGAGGCGGGCTTATGATTCAGCATTCTGCAAAAAAAAGATTATTTTTGAACAAAAGCTATAAACTGAGAAAAATAGCATATTAATTAAAGGATCACTATGGGGTCAGGAACACAAACATGGATTCCTGACCGTATAGTGTTAAAACCACCACCTAGCTCCCCTGGACCCCTCATGCCTCCATAAATATAGCAAAATCTTACTGTATTCAAGCCTAAAGCTGTAACTCTGCATGCTGTTAGACTCAGAAAAACAAGCAGTCTGCTGACAGCATCAGAAGTGGTAGCCTGATCCAATCACAATGTTTTCCCATAGGATTGGCTGAGACTGTCAAAGAGGCAGATCAGGGGCAGAGCCAGCATGATTCAAACACAGCCCTGGCCAATCAGCATCTCCTCATAGAGATGAATTGCATCAATGAATCTCTATGAGGAAAGTTCAGTGTCTGCATGCAGAGGGAGGAGATTCTGAATGGTTGGATGCATTTTAGGCAGCCATGACCCAGGAAGGATCTCTAACAGCCATCTGAGGAGTGGCTAGTGAAGTTATCACTAGGCTGTAATGTAAACACTGCATTTTGTCTGAAAAGACAGTGTTTACAGCCAAAAGCCTTAAGGGAATTATTATACTCACCAGAATAAATACATTAAAGGGACACTCCAGGCACCCAGACCACTTCTGCCCATTGGAGTGGCCTGGGTGCCAACTCCCACTACCCCTAACCCTGCAACTGTAAATATTGCAGTTTTCATAAACTGCAATATTTACCTTGCAGGGTTAATTCCTCCTCTAGTGGCTAGACAGCCACTCCAGGGCACTTCCGGGTTTATAGCACACATTACGCTATGTGAGAACCTCCAGCGTCGCTGAAATTCCCATAGGAAAGCATTTTTCAATGCTTTCCTATGGGGAGGACTAATGCCGCACATGCACATTAGGTCTCCCCCGCCGGCAGCCACGCATGCGCAATAGGTCTTCCCCGCCGGTTTACGTAATCCGGCAGGGGAGGAGCATGGGAGGACCCTGAACCAGTGCCGAGGGACATCGGCGCTGGACTACGGTAAGTCATTGATAACCCCGTCAGCAACCTGGGATGGGGGGTGGGAGGGAGAGGGGACCTGCAGTGCCAGGAAAACGGTTTGTTTTCCTGGCACTGGAGAGTCCCTTTAAGCTGTAGTTGTTCTGGTGATTATAGTGTCCCTTTAACTCCTTAAGGACCAAACTTCTGGAATAAAAGGGAATCATGACATGTCACACGTCATGTGTCCTTAAGGGGTTAAGCCAAAGTCTTATAAGTTGTATTGGTGCTTGGAATGTCCATATAAAAATGTAATCATTCTGAAACACTATGTAAAATAAGAGTATAACAAAAAAAATTAATTAAAAAAAAATCTAAGTGTGATTGCAATGTAAATGTATCTGCAGAGATTGATTCTGGCAGTAAAATAAACATACAGGTTTTATTAGACATGTGTTAAAACTCATGAGTATAATCAGTATTAATGCTTGTTTTCCACTGCTAGTTTTGCATTAAGCTGACACAGCTGCTTTAGAAATCCATCATTTGGTCCAATCTCTCTCTTTTCGCGGACTAAGGAGACAGCAGTTTTTACATCCATCTTGTGGTGGACCATAAGATAAGCTATAACCAAAGTGGGAGAGCGGCTGTAGCCTTCACGACAATGAACTAATACACGACCTGAAAAAAATAAAAAAGGAATACTTCCATAAGAGATATCACAGAAAAAGGAATAACCTAAATATCAATTAAAGGGACACTCCAGACCCCTTAAGCATGTCAGCTTGCGGAAGTGGCATATGTGTGAAAAGTGTGTCCTCTTTTTTTTTTTTTCATTAAGTGCAGATAGAAAATGGTACTTTTCTAAATAGAATTTTTTACACCTACTTCTGAGTGTCAATCAGACAACTGATCCTGTTACTTCCTAGAAGGTTAAACTCAAGAGGCAGAAATTGTTCAGGGCACATGTCTTTACTTTACAATGAGATGGGCAGTGGGGTGCCTCTTTAAGATTCAGCTAGCTGGACATTCCACTGATGTTAAGCACTCTGATTGAATCAGGCTTATTCAGTTTGGCAATTTTGGCCTCAATTTAGAAATTAATTGTGACTTCACATTTAATTCCTGGCAATTCTCACTTTAGTGAACAACCCTGAGAATGTTTATTTGTTATATATTTTTTTATACTTGTAAACTAATGTCATTTTAGTTGTAAGTCATGTGCCATATGTGATTTTTCTTCATTAACTATTTCTAATATGCATTCTTTTGGTTCTTCTGACTACTGCTCTGAGAACCTCACAGGCAGAGGCTATTAGTCATCTGATTACAGGGTTTGTTTGTTCAGTTTCACAGCTGATTTTCAGGTTTCCTATCTCCCAGAGTGAGTATGAAGTGCTCCTTTATGTGGCTCCTACAGGGGAGGGAGCTACTAAGTCACTTGTCTCCCCAGCTTCCGCTCCTGATCCTGTCAAGGGAGGCACCTCTCGAACAGCGGCTAGCACAATCCCTCTCCTTGATCAGTTAAGGAAAGCACCACTGGTGCCTGCCACCTTATCTCCCTGGTTACCTCCTGAATATTAACATAAGGCAGGGACCCAATGTTTGAAGCGGTGCCTTTCTTACTTTAGTGTGAATCAGCTTTAACCCCTTAAGGATGTGTGACATGTCATGATTCCCTTTTATTCCAGAAGTTTGGTCCTTAAGGGGATTAAAGAGGCCTCTAAGATCCTGCCTGCCCTGAGCCTAATACCCTAAAATGCCACATAATGACAGGCACCACTCCAACAGCGGCCACTGTGCAAGCTGCTTTTTTTTTTTTTTTAAATCTGAATGGGTGGCTATATGCTTCAATATTCTGTTTGCTATTGAATTAATTTGTATAACATTTTACTGTAAGAAAAATGAAAAGTAATACTTCAGTTTTGAAATTCAGTTTATTCTCACTTTAGTGAATGATGTTGCTGTTGACAATGTCTGTGCTTGTTGGGCTTACCTGGGCACTTACAGCTATGGGTTGTCTTCTCATATCAGTGTAGGGCAGGGGTGCCCAAAAGGAAGATCATCAGATGTTATAGTACTACAACTCCCATGATTTTAGAATAACAAAGCATCATGGAAGTTGCCCAAAGGTAGATTTCCAGAAAATTGAAATCTACAATATTCTATTCTAAAAGGCTGGTAAAGCATCATGGCGTTTTGAGTATTAAATACCTGGAGATGTACCTCATGGGCACCAGGCATGTAAAGTGTCACTAGGATGGTATTGTGCAGAAGTGCATATATAAGGGTCAGTGTGGTGCATCTTTAAATAATGTCACAGTTCAGTGTGGTAAATATTTACAGGCTCAAATGATGTGATCAGCATACTTCCTTAATGGTTAAAGGAACCTTCTAAACACCACAACCACTACAGCCCTAACATGGTAAGTAGTCAAACTGTTTAAGAATGGTTTGATAACCCATTACTGCCTCCTGTAAGGAGCTTCTATTATATTCACCTACCTAAGAATTGCTGGGCATGTTTTTCTCATTGGCTTAGACTGTCAACTGAGTGCTCTCAGCCTATGAGTTGGCTCTGCACCACCAAGCATAGCTCAGTGAACAAGCTTCAAGGTGCAGAGGAGGTTACTGAGGTGTGTGGCAGGGTAAATGTGAGGGGTGACTGTGAAATGGGGTTACTGCAGCCCCTCCTCCTCCTTAAATGTTAGGCTGCAAGGTGGGCTCTAATCTGATATACTGGTGGCTTAGTGGGCTGAGCTAATGGTCTGCACTTTCCGTAGGTGCAGACAACTAAAAATGCTCTCTTCCAGTCTATGACCACAAAGGAGCATCAGCAGTGACCTTCACACAAGGATTGTGCAGAACTGCAGCTCCCTCACCTGAGCTCACAGAGCAGGATCTATACATATCCGCACCGGCCCATGCAGCTGCATTGGTCCACAAAGAACTGGCATTCTAATGGTAGCACTGGCACTGCAGTCTGGGACACCAAAGGGCACCTCCTGCAAATGAAATTTGTTTTTCAAAACATAAATTTCAATTGCAATATTAAAAATTGTGTTTACACAATTATGTGGTATGAGGGATTATCCCGGTAATCATGTATACACGACTGTCATACTGAAAGGGTTAAAGGAAAACTGTAGGCACCATAACCCCTTGAATTGGTTAAAGTGGTTATTTGCCCACACTAACCAATGGTTTTAAAACTTACCTGAGGTCCATCATAGTGGTTATGGTACTTGCAGTGTTCATTATAACATAGGAACATAAAGAATCCAATAGAAGAAAACAAAAAAGGTTGAAGTCTTTTCCAACTGTGCCACAATCTCAAATTGATTCCAAAATGGTGCAAATGATCCATTTATAGTATAAATTATCAGCATTGTTTTTACACATAAGAGTTCATGCATGCAAGAACATTTCACAAATGAAAGAGAATATAATGTGAAATATTGGCCTTCTTGTTGGCAATAAGAGGTTTTATCACTTCCAATAATATCGATCCTTCAACGTCCTAGCCATTAATAGATAAAGTCTGATATTGCAACCTTTACCGGACAATTGTCTTAGAGAAAAAATGTATTAAAGAAATGGGAGCGTACCATGACAAAAAAAATAGAAAAGTAATACTATGTAAGTGGCACACAAAAATATTTAAGGCTAATCCAAAATATGATTAATGTCTGTCAATTTAGGATAACGCTATATAATAGTGCTAGATCAGAAATATCTCATTTATCCTTTAAGACCTAGAAAGAGCCAGTGCCCTCTTTGGAAAAAGAAGTCTACAAATACCTTCCCAAAAAAAAAAAAAAGACAATATTTGTAGACTTATTCCTGAGTATATCCCTCGGTATGGTGGACAGAAAAAAAACAAAAAACTGCAGACTGAAAAATTATTCAATACAAGTGAACAACGAAACATAAACAAACAGAGTTAAAATATTGATAGTGAAACAAGAATCAGAGCTTTGAGCTTATTTTATAAACTTACCATTTTTTTGTGATAAAGCTTTATCAATAAAATCTGAGGTTTTCTCAAAATGAGAACTGAGGTTATAATATGGTGTATCGTTGGCTTTAATACCATAGTAGACAATGTCTGTTCCATTGTAGAAATCACTGTTGGTGTTTACATGCATGAAAGACTTCCCTTCAGCAGCATTGAGAATATGAGTAATCCCAAGACGACATAACTCCGTAATATTTTCTGCTATAGATCTAAGGGATAAAATCAGGGGAAAATAAATAAATATACAATGGCTATGCGTTTCAAAACAAATATTCTGAACATGCCTGCCTGTAGAATTTGGGGGTTTAAAATAATGGTGGGCATTAACTTGGTGTATGTAGTGTTGGCATTTGACTGCAGTGGTGTTTTTACATGTAGTTTGTGGCTTTTAAATGCCAAGGTTTTATTGTATGTAGTAAAATGACTAGGGGAATCAATTGACCTATGGTTAACCAGTTTGTGTGGTGGTTTAGCCCTTTGACTGTATAGGTGAAATAGGGGAGGCAGCTCAACAACCCAGTTCAGAGTCTCTCTGTTCCAGGCCAAATACAGGATACTCATTTGGGAGGGAGGGAGTATCGCCTCATAATAATCACATGTGGCATATGGAGTAAAAAGATATTTTTTTTTTTTTTAATTAATAACTATATAGTTTAGTGTTTTTGGAATGTAAAACATTTTTGCATTTAATTACAAATGACTGGAGCTAACAAGAGCTCCACTTGTAGGTACGTGAGCGGTTTAATCCCCGCTTAAAATGTCCCTCGGTTTTGCTTGCCAATCCAGGATTTATGCAGCAAAAATAGAAAACGACCACATAGTTTAGTACGTTCAAATGTTGTAGGAAAAAGAGAAATTAGCTAGATGGTTGTTTTAACACTACAGCATTAAGAATACATGTTTGCGTTCCTGACCCTATAGTGCTCCTGTAAAGTTAAACACTATGCACCACCGCAGTTTGGTGTAGTGCTTATGTTTCCCAGAGACTCTTTGGTGTTGTCCTACAATTCAAATCAAACCATTTAGGAACAGTAAAAAACAAAACCTAGGGCTCTCCAAAGCACCCCAACAAAGCCCTCTTTAACTGCATTGATAAAACAGAATTAATGTTCTTACAAAGTGAGTGTTCCTTTCATCCAATCTTAATAGTACTGAAAACATGAGAGCATTGGACCAGTTTTATAATTTGCCATGTGTATGTTACATAGGCTGAAAAGAAACATGCATCCATCAAGTTGTCTCTCACATCTGTATTTTTTTTAATTCTAATTTCTCACTTATTTATTAAGTGCACCCACAATACATTACTATACGACACACCTTGTGTTTTTTTTACCCCTTTAAGAACCAATGTTGGACTTATTCTATCATGGATATTAATTCCTGAAACACCCATGATGGAATATTTTTGTCAAGATTACGAAGAGCATGATTCATTCACTTGGGAATGTAACAATCTAACAAGAAAATAAAAAAACAAATGTATCTGTATATGCTCTCCTTAGTAATGTACGCATTGAGTGTCTCTGTAAGAAAGCAATATTTTTAAGAGGTATAGTATTATATCTGGTAAATAGCTGACACTAGTAAAAAAAAAAAATCTGTTCACAATATTTAGATAAATCCTAGAATGATATTAGATGGTAACTTCAGTTAACTAGGACCTAATGCAAGCAAAGTTTGGCATAACTGTATGCTTTGGTGAGCTAACCATGGGTTGTTGGTGGTGGTGGTGGTCTGGCCAGAGTGGCAAATGACAGAGGGGTGCAAAGAGCACCCACTTCTCACCAGTGCAGACCTTTGCAATTCAACAGACCTTGCGTGTGGCAGGGAAGTTGCTGGAATCAGTCTGCTCTGACTGAGCAGCTATCTTACCATCCTGTACGAATGCCAGGATCTAGGATGGAACATCATCCCAGCATCAGTACAGAGCTGATAAATAAAGGTCAAATGTGTGTGTATGTATCAATGTATGTGTATATAAATGTTTGCATGTGTATGAATGTGAGCGTGTGTGTGTGTGTGTGTATGTAATTTCTCTATCAAAAGGGTTTTAGGAGGGTTGCAGAGAGACAAAAAAAAAAAAAATTCAGTTGTAGGGGTCCAATATACATTTTTTTTTAAATTCTTTATTTTTGCAGTGCATTGCATAAACCATACCCTGAACTGTACTTTGCGGTATAGAGGTTCCGATGCATAACATAGTATGGAGTAGAAATCATTGAGTAACTGCACCAATTTTAAATTTGATACATGCTGTGAATGTGGGCCTAGGTTCTGTTGTAGGTGATAGAGCTTGTCTTGTGTGTTTATAGGTATAGTTTGTCTATTCGGTCCTAGCGCCACTGTCCCATGTTGCTGGGGGGCTAAATAGAAGGTAGTGTGTTAGTGGTTACGGCACACGTGAGTTTAGAGAGATTTTAAGTGAGAGTGCATAGAGATGAGAGCATACAGTTGTGTATTATCAGAGGTGTTTAGGTGATTGGGTGTAGCTTCTCCTTATTGTGGCTACGCAAGTTGGTGGTTGTACTCTAACCAAGGGAGTTGTGGGCAGGGGTGGGGGATACGAAGAGTGTGCATGTCGCCCTTCTATACATTTGGTGGACTAGATAGTCCAGGGTTACTTTGTTCATCTAAGTGTGGCTATTGTCATGTTGTGACCGTAGGGGATGGGCTATCCTGGACATGTAGTGTCGTACATTTTAAGATTAATAATAATGATTTCGAACAAGGAAAATAACAACAACAAAAAAAATCATATAAGCCAAATAAACAAAAAAGTTGAGCTAAAACAGTTGCAGTCTTTAGACTTGCTAAGGCGATGCCTGGATCTGGAATAGGCTTCCTTCCATGGGTTCTTGTGCCTTTCTTTCAGGTTCCGGGGCTGTCTTGGTTCCGGGGCCTAAGAGCTCCCGGCCCTTGGGACAAATGGTGCGACGTGTTCTGGGTCCCAGTTGGCAGTAGTGGGTCTCGATGGAGGATCAGCGGTCAGGAGCTCCAGTCCCAGTGTCTTTAAGAGTGTGGGTGCCTCCTCCATTGCGGTAAGCATGTGTTGGGTACCATTCCGGTGCACCACCAGGGATCCGTTTGTCCCCCATCTGATGCCCGACGATCTTAGGCCGCTAGTGAGAGAGCTGAAAGTTTTATGCCACATGAGGGTGGCTTTCATGAGGTCTTGGAAGAAAGCCAAGATAGCAACCTCAAAGGCCAGAGGTGTTTTACCTTTTAGCGCGGACATGATCTGTATCTTGTCATGGACCGTTAGGAACCGGAGTATGACATCTTGGGTCACATTTGAAGGTGCCTTTGCAGATGTGGGTAGGCCATTTTCTTTACTGTAGTGTGAGGTAAGATTGTGGCCAGTAGGCATCTTGTGTAGCGCGGCAGTTCGTCTGGTGAGATTTCTGCCGGGATGCCCCTTATTTTTATGTTTGTGCGCCGTTGACGTTCCTCCATGGCTGTCAGCTGTGCCGTCATGGTTTTCTCTGTTGTGCCCAGACTTGCTGCACTGAGTCTTGGAGCTTGGCTAGGTGAGACTGTAGGTCCATGATGTTTTTTTTGGATGCTTGCACCCTGTCTGTGATGGCTTTCATATCCTTTTTGATGGGAGCCAGTTCTGCCGCCAAGATTTTGTGGAAGTCCGACATTAGTATTTTCAGGTCGTGTCTGGAGTTTGGAGTCATGTCTGCTGGAGGTTCAGGCTGGGATTGACCCCAATATACATTTCTATCCCAGATGTCAGATAACCTAGGTACACATCTAACTAAATTATCCAAGAATGCTTTAAGACCTTGGTTATACTGATAAAATCACAGTAACAATTGCAGTATTCTTTTCTCTATCATTTGGTAATCTAATTGCTTATAGTTTGTTTCTTTGTATTTTTAAATATAAGACAAGAAAAGCAGATTTACAACAAAATCAACATTAAAAAAATTGACGAATCTCCTGCCAGAATTTTCTTTAACTGCGCTAGTTGTCTTCAAATTATAACAAGCAAAATGTCAAGATTCTTCCATGACAAAGGGGGGAGTTATATATTTATATAGGGCAGAGTTCAACAAATACAGGGCTCCAGATTGCCAAGGCAACACAGAAATGTCACCTGGTGGCTATTTCCAGACTGGCTCTCACAGCAGATGAGTGGGCTAGTTCTACAGACTTCTTCACCACCCTCTATTTCCTATCCTTTCTTGGTGCCTTTCTCCATTGTGAGACCACCCTTGGTCGTTATACTGGTATACAGAGTGTGTGCAGAATATGGGTGACCAGGCAGTGGATAACATAACTCTGGCAGAAGCTAAAAGTAACTTATACTCCTTGAGTGATCACTATCTACCAAAATAGATTCTGGGTGTGGTTTGCAAAAGCCACATCCTAACATTGTTGAGATTTTGAGTGTTTCCCTCAAAAGCTCTAGTGAAACTGTTATGGTTCCCCAAAATAGAGTGTATGTATGCCGGGGGAAACTCATAACGCTCGAGGGTAGATAGATAGATATATATATACACACACACACACACACACACCAAGATGCTTGCACTCCTGGTTTAGAAAATAATTGCCCGGTGCTGGTCAGGTCGGAGCGACGAAGGCGATAGCCGAAACGCGTTAAGTGTTTTGGACTTTCATACAAATAGGACTTTTTTTAGTATTACTGTTTTAATTTGTTTCCTGACAATAAAATCTTTCTAACCCCCTGAATCTGCGGTCTGGAGGTACTATATACAGAATACCTGGAAGTTCCCAGCTGAAGTCCTATGTGATTTGTTCAAGGCATGCAGTTTGAGCCAGCTTTATAAGTGGCTGTTCATATGTGAGTGAGACCAACACATATATTTTATTGTACCGTTTTAACTTTATTACCCTATGTCTCTCTTTTTTGGTTTATTTTCAGAGATAGATTGACTGCATTTTGGGTAGTATATTTTATATATCTGAGTTCTCGCACCATTTTTTGTTTTTCTGTTTATTTCTGTGTATTGGTGTTTTTTTTGCCCCACTAAGGTGATAGTAGCACCATTATTTTTCCTTTTGGGAATTTTCACTATTATATTTATATTTTATTTGCCATACAGATTTACACTATGGAGTGTTTATTTTTCTTTCCCCCATTCTATAGGGTATTTATAGGTATTGGAATAGGGGTAAGTACAAGATAACATTAATTTCATTAATATTTAGTCTGAGCGCTCCACTTTAGGTGTTGGTGACAGGTGTGGTTTCACTCCTATGTCTTCCTATTTCGGACACTGACATGCTTGCATCAGTGCAAACTCTCCTTGATAAAGTCTGAAAAGACTAAACTGGTCGGATCAAAGTTCTGCATCTTTACCTACTCTCCAGCTGGAGACATGAGATTGCATAGCAGAGGAAACCTTCACCGTAGCACCAGGTTCTGGATTTTCAGCTTCTCTTGGGGAAGGACTCTGGACAAAGTCATCACCAGAGTTCACATGACTAATCTGTGCTGTTCTATTTTCAGAGCTTTTAGTTTTACATTATGTGTTTTTATTTTGGATTTTTTAAGCATATTAAAGAGTGTGAAGATTTAATACATCTCTATAATAGATTCTGTTTGGATTTCATCTTATGTACATTATATTGGAATGTTCTTTAATTTTGGTGTGTTTTGGGGGAGATTCTGCTTGTAGGGTTGTGAATGTGGATGTTTGTAGGGTTGTGTGTGTGAGAGAGGCTTTTGTGGGGTTGTCAATAATCATAAGTTTTATTATCTAGGTTTTTACTATCCCTACTTATCATCCTGTTAACATTTTAATTCTTAACCACAACACAGGTACTTTATAATCTTAACTCAATAAGCACTTACACCATACTGGACATATTTCCATTAACGTTCCCATTGTGTCTTTAGGTTCCTCTCTAGGATATTACTTTCTCAAGCTCTACCACTAGTTGCGCAAGATAAGTATGTTCCAACATACTTTCTATCAATTCATTACATTTCTATTCACATACAATCCTTAGGGATAGATCTACTGGCTGTTAAGAGTATTGGTGTGTGTCATATTATTGTATATTTGTAATTCAGTCATGCAAGGCCTACACCCATCCTCATGCGGGGTATTCGTCCATTGGCCCAACTCATAGCCAGACCCTTTCTAGCTCTGGGTTCCTCTACCTTGTGTTAGCAACCAAGCTGGAAACACAGACAACATGACAGAGATTTAGGCCATGATGGCTCCCATCCTTTCATCCTTATAAATAACTGTTGACACTAGTGACGTTTATAATCTCCTGACTTTGGACGTCTTACCCTCCCATGTAGTGCCCTACGTCATGCTTTTTACTTCCATCTCCTCAGCGTTACACTGCCAGTTGCTATCAGCACGTTTCCTCGTCTAATGTTATTATCTGTACAGTAAGTTCCCCTGTCCTTTGGAAGGACATAGCTACGAGACTTGTCAGTAGTTAAAAGCTAGGAAACACAGATCGTACATTCGTACTCACTCACTTTTGTCACACTTGCCCTCCTCTAGTTGAGTTTCTGATTACAGATTTCACAGTAGGTTTCCGCACAGGCGTCATTTAACTTCAATCAGGTATTAGGGTTTGTCCTAACCTCCAATCTACTAGTTAAGACTCATTCAACTTAATTACTATTAGTGGCAGAATCAAGTATTGGTTTCTGACAACCTCTTTATTTGCAGGTGCACCTACCATATTAGCCTAATCAATGGGAATCCCAATAATATCTGCTCAATTTTATTATCGGCTACTCGTTCTTTAAAGTTCTCAGTATTAGGCTATGGTATTTGGCCTATCTTAAGGGCCACAGAAACAGCCTGCCTAGGAAATTCCGTATTCCTCATTTTCAAATTGCTCACAGTGCATCGGTCCCAGTGGCATTAGCACGATATTTATTGAACTGAGCATTCTACTTTGCCACTCGTCTTACATTTGGAGCGGAGAGATGCCCAAACTATTCCATATAGTTGCATAATCTCTCTGTAGGCTCCTCTTGTACGTCAGTATTGTCCCTCAGTAATACATTATCTACATGAGTGTAACGATTATGGAACCGAATGCCATACTCTGAAGCAGATGTGTCTTTTGTATCTGGTACATCCTTTGGAACTCTGCTGTCTCGATCAACCTTTGGCCCCTACACCAATTTTCATTTCTGGAAATACATTAGACTTGATTTCATTGCAGTACAGCCTCCCCACAGACTAAGTCCAGCGTATCAGGGAAAGGGAAAATCCTTTCCGGGGCAACGATGCCTGTTTCCCATATGGATCCCCAGTTTCTCCTTGATCCTCTGAACTTTACCATGCACCTAACATAAGGGAGCTCATTCATTTTCCATCCACTCAACCTGCTCCCAGGTTCACCTGTCAACAATAGCGCTGTTACATTTGACACATGCTTGAGCAGTTCTGTTCATGTGGCAAAATCTTCTATCCCCCCAGCACAGGAACTTGTTCTTCATTTGTGGACTAATACAGCCGCCCACACTGGATTGCAGCCAATTTCATAGGTAACTGGGTCTGTAACACATTTTCCACAGTGATTCGGAACCTACCCTCTTTTAGTAAATCAGCAGCATGGGAATTATTACTGGCCAGTCCCTGTCAGGATTACAGAAGAATTGAAGATTATATTAGCTTTAGTGTACTAATCTTAATTTTAGTAATGACAGGAGGCGAATATTTGCATATCTTTCTTTACTGAAAACTCCAGCAGCATAGAAACATAAACAACCAATCAGAAAAAAGTTATGATGCCCATAAAAGGCCCTGTCTATGACATCACTTACTCTTTCTTTGAAGCGAAACAATATATAACAAGAGACATAATCATATTACGTCAACAGTTCAACAACATATTAGAATATCCAACTCCATTAGTTCCGCGATGCAGAGGTATGGAAGGTGAATCTTTGTCTCGATGAGAAGACGTTCACGCTGCAAGAAAAAGAAAAAGGTGAAAGGTATCTGGCGTGATAACTTGTCCGCATACAATAAGCATTAAGCATCTGATATACCAACGAACATTAGAATGTGAAACATATCAATATATATTTATTCTAACGCAATGATATTTAAGAATCTATAAACACAACATAATGCAAGGTTCATGTCTAATATTCAGCCAATACAAGACCCACAAGATACAGGTCTAAGTAGCAAACATACAAACCATACATACTTACCTTCCTGAACATTAAGGACATATTCTGTTCAACACGAGAAACATGGGAGGGATCCTATAGGGTGGGAAATATTCGCCTCCTGTCATTACTAAAATTAAGATTATTAGTACACTAAAGCTAATATAAAACTTCAATTTTAACACATGACAGGAGGCTTCATATTTGCATTTTTAAAGCTTTGAATTGATCAATGTGAAGGAAGAATGAGATGTTTGCCGAAAATAGAATGTTCTAAACGTACTCACTCGCGCTCAGTCCGCGCAGCGTATAATGTCTGCTAGGGAAGCGTCGGCCGAAAAGGTTTGAGAGGCCGCCGCTCCCCTGACCGAGTGGGCTCCGAAACAAGGTTCGCCGTTAAAGACAAAAACCAGCGGACCCATCTGGCCAGTGTTGCGGTAGACACCGGTCCATGAGGGTTCACGTAAGAAGTCAGAAGGTGATCCGTAGAATTCAAAGGGGGTAGAGATATTGGTGTACCCCATTAGCGTTCTGACCACGCATAGTGTGGCGTCTGACACAAAGCATGGGTATGACACTGAAGACGAAATCAGACTTAGTTCGTCTCGACATGGTAAAGGTAACCCCGTCTGGTGTGAGAGAGAAACCATCCATATCGCAAGCCCTAACGTCCGCCACCGTCTAAATGAGGCGAGGCATAATAAGAGGGCTAGTTTGGCTGAAAGTTGCTTCAGTGACAAACAAGGATTGTCCGGCCATTCCCTAAGGAATCTCAGCACCACATCCACCTGCCAGAGGCGTGAATATTTGGGTGCAGGGATCTCGACAATTCGGCACCCAGCAGTAGTCGACAAACCAGTGTATCTTGACTCACTGGTCTGCCCTGTACCGGAACGTGCGCGTTGAGGGATCGATATGACCGACCCAACGAGCCCAGGTGTGACAGATAGTTGAGGATCAGTGGGACAGTTGCGGTAAAGGGATCGGAATCCCTTTCCACACACCAATCACTCCAGGCCGACCAGGCAGAAATATAGCCTTTCCTGGTGTGGAGCCTATGAGTCCCATAGGAGGTCTTAGTTGATGCAATAGGTCGTGAACTGACCAGGAGCCCCTGAAACCGTCCATGCAACTAGTGCCAGTTGTCCTTCCATGACAAGGGAGTGGGCTTCCCCTCGAGGTCCCATCAGAAGTAGAGGGAAGGTAGGGAGTAGTAGAGGGTCTTCGCGAGACATCTCCAGGCGATCCGGGAAATCACGGTTGGCCCTGCCCGAGGGGTGTCATGAGCAGGAGCGATATCTTGTGGGTGTGTGTGTGTATCGAAGCACCCTTGCTATTGTGGAGAACGGCTGGGTCACGTTTGCAGGGGTTCATCCATCGCCCCGTATCCGAAGGAAGAGTCAAAGATCGTTTTGCCAATCCAAGTTTGTATGTGAAGTAATCACCATCGAAATTCCATCCTCACTTCCGCTGACAGTGGGATCCAGTGGTCGTATGAGTGACCGGTGCGTACGTATCTCACCATCAGTCGTAGTGGGCCAGGGAATAAACGCTTGTATGGAGGAGGAGGAGAGGAATCCCACAATCCGACAGCTATCCTTATAGAGGCGCTCTTTGCCGTAGACGGACGCGGAACGTAGTTCTCCAAGCCGATGTCGAAACAGAGGAACTGTCCCGATTCAGATGGAGAAGCGATCTTTGTCTGTGTACAACAAAAAACCCATGAAGTCCCGAAAGTGAACGACAAATTTGTCTGCAAACGTAGCGTGGATAAAGAATCAGCAAGTCTTCCAGGTATACGAGGCATCCCACGCCCAAATTTACGGATGTGTGCCCTCACTGGTTACAGTAGGTTCGCGAGCACCACGGAGTCGTAAACTGCCGTGTTTGTCCTCACCATTGGAATCGGAGGAAAACTTCGGCAGTCCAGGGCAACGGGTACTGACAAGCGTGCGTCCTTGAGGTCCAGATGTGTAAACCAGTCGTTATCGCCTAGGAGGTCTTGTAGAAGACGAATTTCCTCCATCTTGCAGCATTTGTATACCATGTAGAAGTTCCATTGATGTAGTCTCCTGGCTTCTTCTTGACCAGGAAAAATTTGCTGGGGAAGCCTTCCCCTCCGGTGCATGTTGAATTGCACCCCTCCTGAAGAGGGTGCAGATTTTCTTGTCCACGAGGCGTTCCTGTTCCGCCAGCGTGCGTAATGGAGGTGAAGGGGCGACCTGCACGGCTGTGATAAAACTCTATGACATAGCCTTGTACTGTCTGGAGAACCCAGGTGACTTTGGTAGTCGTCTCCCAATTCTGTAAAACAGAGACAGGTTGCCGGTCATAATATTGGAAACAGTTAGTTATGTAGGTTGACACACTAGTAGATGAAGCGGATGGGTTCCTTTGTGTAGTAGATGGGAGAAATATGAGGACTGTGTATACGATCTGGAACCTGTCGCCCAGAAGCGGCTGGTGGCTCGGTTCAGCTACCGACCAGTCCTCCCAGAAACACCTTTCCCCGTAGGGTTGTGGAAGACTTGTTTTAGCGAGGTCTGGGTTTAATTTAGTGTGGTGAATAAATTCACGTGTTTCTTGAGTACTGCAATGAACACTACGTCGAATAGTAGGCCTTGTGCTTTTGGGCCGAATTCTTGTCGTTCCTAAGTCCAATAGTGTGTTGTCGATGTGGCCCAGTACAGATTTGCGTCTGTCGGCGCATAGTGCGTCATTTACGTTGCCCAGGAGGCATATCGAGCATTGAGACCATTCTTTGGAGGTGGTAGGGTTGAGTTGTGTACCCTGGGGTAACTCGGTCTTGAGGCGTGCGCATCCTTCCATCCCCCGAGGGTTGCACAGTCAATAGTGTTCGTCCAGGAACGTTCCGTCTTCGGCTACTCTGGTTTAGTGCCGCTACAGTTATCTCTGCCTCAGCCGCCGTCACAGAGTAAGGTTTCCCTAACGTACTTCGAGGAAGTGTGGGGAAGGACTTGCCGTTCCATTTCCTCAGACGGTGAGCTGTCTTCGTGTCTCTCATCTACCATGTCTTCTTTGTCAGAAGATTGTGGCGGACGGGGTTTGGATTCCCGGTGCTCCGCCTATTTGGTCTGTTCGATGGGCGTCTTGCCCTTGACCTTAGTGGCAGGGGGGCTGGAGCCCTTCCCTTGCCGTTTTGACTTGAAGGCTTGTGGGCCTGAGGTCTCCATCAAGCGGTGTGGGGTAGAGTTCATAACAGAACCTTCTCCACTGAGGCCGTTACTGTGGCGTTTATCATTGCCTAGAAATCTTGGGAACGTTGAGAGTGTCCACCATGACTCGTTCCCGTCCTGTTGGGAGATAGTGTGAGGGTCAGCACGTAGGGGTGTTAGACTCCTGGTAGAACTGGGGATCACCCAGGTAAAACGGTTTGAATTGCCTGCTTTAGTATGTCTGAGAGTATGAATACTCGTGCCAAGTGTAGAGGGTCACCTCTATTAGTTTAATCTGGCTACTGAGAGCCGTGGTGCAGGCGCGACTGACTGGTAGTGGTGTCGGTCTGGCTAGCCGGGTTCACCACAAATGAACGCCAGAGCTGTATGCACGGTTTTTAACTAAACAGGCTTACTATATAGGCGCATGGGGCCTGTCTCCATAAGGTCTGCAGCCGCAGGACCCATGTCTATTAGGCTGGGTTCATCCCAGGTGGTGTGCCATGGTAACCCAGAGGACACCCATATTATAATTATTGGCACCTTACAAGCATTGCATGCATATCTGGGGGTCATCCCAGGTGGTGTGCCATGAAAAATTACCCAGAGGACACCCACATAAATTTGCACCGTCAGGTACAGTAATATAATATGACCCTCTGTAGGGTACAATAATATAATATAATATAATATGCCCTTTGTAGGGTACAGTAACACAATATGCCCTTCGTAGGGTACAGTGATATAGTTGATCTTGTTATACCGTGTTTCTCCGAAAATAAGACTGGGTCTTATATTAATTTTAGTCCCAAAAAACACACTAGGGCTTATTTTCAGGGTAGGGCTTATTTATTTATGGTACCGGTATGTACATTGAACCCCCCCTTTAATTAATCCACCCCCCTTTAATAAATCCACCCCCTCTAATTAATCCACCCCTCTAATTAATCCACCCCCCTTTAATTAATCCACCCTCCTTTAATTAATCCACCCCCCCAATAAATCCACCCCCCCAATAAATCCAGCCCCCTCTAATTAATCCACCCTCCTTTAATTAATCCACCCCTCCTTTAATTAATCCACCCCCCTTTAATTAATCCACCCCTCCTTTAATTAATCCACCCCTCCTTTAATTAATCCACCCCTCCTTTAATTAATCCACCCCCCTCTAATTAATCCACCCCCCTCTAATTAATCCACCCACTCTAATAAATCCACCCCTCCTTTAATAAATCCACCCCCTCTAATAAATCCACCCCCCGTTTAATTAATCCAACCCCCCTTTAATAAATCCACCCCCCTCTAATTAATCCAGCCCCCCCTTTAATTAATTCATCGCCCCCTTTAATTAATTCAGTCCCAGACATAAAATATCTACTCACATTTCAAAGATGCCTTCCTTGCCCGCCGAGTCCGACCACTGGGTGCCTCACCGCCCGGAAATGGATCCTTCCGCTGAAGATCCGTGAAGGCAGACTGACGACGCTGCGCACGTCGTCATCACGTTGCGCGATGCCGCGGCCTGCAACGCTCCTCCTCCTCCTCATAGAAGAAGGAAGTCCCGCCGGGCCGAAAGGTACAATGCCTAGGTCTTATTTTCGGGGTAGGGCTTATATTGCAGCCCACCCCGAAAATTCAGCTAGGTCTTATTTTCGGGGTAGGGTGTATTTTCGGGGAAACACGGTAGGTACAGTATATGTTTTGTATAACGACTGTGATATTGTATGGCTTCACAATAATACATAGATTGTGTGCCTGCTCAACATATAATCATCCAGTGTAAGGCACCATGAGAGATATATCCATGAGAATAAAAAATAATTGTATCAATAACTGAATGTGCCCAGAGAGGGGGACCCCTGAAGGGGTTAATCCAGATGCAGGGCGCGGTGATCGGGTGATTCCTGTAGGGTATAGTAATATAGTATGACCCTGTGCAGGGTATAGTAATATGGTATGACCCTGTATAGGGTATAGACCCTGAGTAAGGTACAAAGACATAATCTCCTTTAATGCCTGCATGTAAGTATTTGTTTGGCAGACACTGTTGGCAGGCACTGTGGCAAAATACATCGAAAGAATACATGGAGAAAAAACTGAAATCCAGCTTGCACTCTCCCATTGTTCACTTGGGAGAGCATACACTTGTGGAGCCCGGCGGTCGGGTGAGTTCCCGATCCGCCGAGCGAGCAGGGAAGGTGGCCGTCGGGTATCTCGCGAGCCGCGAGATCCAAGATGGCCGCCGCCCACATGTGAAGGTGCGCCGCGGATCGCGGTCGCGCGGTGCAAAACAAAGGGGATAAATGCTACACAAACGCTGACCCCAGCCTCCCTCCACCCGTCCCCATACAGTCCCCTGTGTAAGTGAAAGGGCCGGTCTGCGAGGCGAGCGCGACATGGGTAGTCGTTGCGCCCGCGGATACCAGGCAGTAAGGTGGAAATAAAAATGGGGAAAAAACAGAGGGATACAGTGAAGGGACAGGAATAAGGGGGCCAAGGTAGCAGGTGTTAGCAATAAATAGAGTAATATATAGTGGTATAACAATCAAAAAACAGTGTAAATTAAGAATCTACCAGACAGGTAAAAGACTCTGACCTGATGTAAGGCTGGAGCAGCAAAGAAAGAGGAAGTGATGTCATAGACAGGGCCTTTTATGGGCATCATAACTTTTTTCTGATTGGTTGTTATGTTTCTATGCTGCTGGAGTTTTCAGTAAAGAAAGATAAGCAAATATGAAGCCTCCTGTCATGTGGTAAAATTGTGTAACACAGAGGACTAATAGGTAACCTATGACGGACCTTAGAATGGCCGGACTAACGTACCCAAAAAATAGTCAGGAATAGCTCTCGGACAACCACAAGGGAAACCACGACAGGGCACTGAGCAGGATGAGAACTGGGCCTACATACCCCTCCTGATAGGCTGTGTAACGGAACCGCTGGCACCCCGACCGGGTACCTTCCGCTGACGGATGCTCCTAGTACTTTCCGAGGACTCCAAGCACTCTGCCCGACACCATAACCACTGCAGACCCCACGAACCGCTGCAGCTTGGTTGGGGTCTCGCCGTCTCCACCCACTCTGGACCCAAGACCAGGGTCCAGCTTCCAGTAGGTCGACCTCTCTCCGAATTCCAGAGAGCAGGAACAAGCTCTTAGCAGAGCTTAGTGATCATACCCTGTGGAGTATAGTGATTATAGCAATCCCCAGAGTGTAGTTCTCCAATCCCCCAAACATGAGCCGAAACTTCATGAAGGTACAAGATGATCTCCTTTTAATGACCACACACTGGCTTTTATGCAAGTCCCCATGCAAGGGGACATCCCAAAGGGTGGGACACAGTACAACCAATCATTTACAGGAAAACCATAAAACACACCCAGCCCCAAAATACAATCCCTCCCCTCTGCCTGTGATATAATTACTGAACACAGTGGGTTAATGTAATTTATCACAGGCAGGAAAAATACACTTTTTATACATATACTGTAACTTTAAAAATATGCATCATATTCAGAATCAGCATACTTTAAATATAAACATAACCAAAATTCAGCCAATTCCATCCAGGGGTTAAAAAGTTAGCTGGAGCTCCCTTTATGACCGACCGCAAGCACATTTTCATGCCCAAAACAGTTCCATAGATTTGGGCTGTGCGGTCGGTCTATTTCATGCTGAAAAAACAACTAAGTCCCATCGCCGAATGGGACTTGGTCTCTGCGGCTGCAAAATCATTGTGGAGGAAGGTAGGGCTCAGCGGTGTTCGCGGAAATGTGTAGCCGATTTCAGTTCCGTGAATTTGGCTACACATACCGCTGACCTCGTGCGAATGAACAAAGATGGCCGCCGCCACGTGTTCGGCAAACGAACGAAGGCCACCCAGCATTGTCAAGTAAGCTGTAGTTAACTGCAGCTTCTGGGAGGTAAATTGCCGACACACTCCCAATACAGGTGGTCCGCCTGTGTGGTACTTGGTTCAGTAAGCCCCATTTACTGAACCAAGTGGGAAAAAGCCATAAAGCCAAAGCCAAGTATTTGAAAGGTCTGGGGACATAGTCTTAAAGGGGCATTGTCACACAAAGTCTCAATATATCCCCAGACAGTTCTTAAAGGGCCAGCATGGTCCAATACAAGTCCATAAACCACAATGCAGTTCTTAAAGGGCCAGCAGCAGCACAATATAAATCCATTGGCCCAAATAATGTTTGTAAAGTGCCATACAACCCAGGGCTGTAGTCATGAGGCAGGAGGCTGGCACTCAGGCTCCTCCAACAGCCAGGGGCAAAGGGCAACTTGTCACCTAAAAATCCAGTGACAAAAGGCATTTCGTCACAGGCTGTAATTGGCTTTTGACCCCAAAGGCAGTTACCAGGTTCCCATTTGCATAATTGCTGCTCAGCACAAAGAAGCTCTTCTTTGTTCACATACCCATACCAGGCTGTCAGAACATAGCAACTGATGAGGTGACTCGATCACAATTTCTCGTATTCTTCCAAACTCTCACCACGGCGGCCAAACGACCTACCAAACCCCTTCATTACAGGATTTAATTTCTGGCACACGCAACACGATCTGCTAATGCCACCTATTCATGCACTGGGCTCTGGCCATTTTCAATAAACTCACTTCTGCAAATTGATTCAATGGTGGAGTTCACATATTTTTGCCACCTCAACCTTTAACTAGCTCACAACACTTAAAAAATTACTCAAATACAACCGTTAACGTTTTCAGGTCATTCTAAAAGAATATGCGCTGCTCCTACTACCTCTAGTAATATCCCAGTACATTTCATCTAATGGCTGGGGTAGTAGAGTCATCTGCATTTGCAAGATATAGCCCTCAACCTGAGAGGGAATTGAGACATGCGTTTAAGTATTGGTTATGTAATGTCAACACGTATTCAGTGTTAAACTTTTTGCCCTCTTTTACAGGCCTACCTGAACGTTGGTTCCGGCACACCACAACCGACTTACACCACCATTACTATAACTCTGCTTATTGTATACGACCACAAATGAGAAGGCTGAGCAGTTAGGCGAAGCCTGGAGTTGTGGGAGGAGTTACCCGGCCTTCCCCTTCCTCTGGGCTGATACTGCCTAGTTCAGCCCACCCGCCACTCCCTTTATTAAGCCATTCATCTTGGTGGGCCCTCTTTTACAGGCCTACCCGAACGTTGTTTCCGGCACACCACAACCGACTTACACCACCATTACTATAACTCGGTTTCTTGTATACGACCACAAATATAATATGTATAATATATTTGCTATTTTTTTTTATTTTTAGGAGTCTAGGGGATTGACTGACAGCTCAGACAGTCCCCCTGCAGACAGCTCCATAGACTTCTGTGATCATGCCGGAGCTGCTGCAGGGTGACTGTTGGGGTCTCGGGCAGTCCCCCTGGACCGGCATCCCCACGGATCGCCGGTCCAGGTGAGTACAGGGGGACAGGGCTGCGGAAGGATGGCTGGGAGTACTATGCCGCCCTCTGGCGTTTAGAGCCATCCTTTCAAAGACGGCATAGTACACCCGCCGTCCTTAAGGGGTTAAGGACTAGTCTGCAAGAAATGTATGTTAGTTCATTTTAGAACTGTGTGTCCTGTGTGAATTTGTTCAGAGATGCCAGTAACAGAGTCTTCTGATCTGTTGGTTGGCTGGCTGCTTGATCCTCGTAGCCTGGGACAAGAGTTCCAGAGAGACCCCAGTGAAGCTTTAGCGACTGGGTCTAAAGTGTTCCAGAGTCCCATGTGAAAGTAAACCTGGTGAAGGTACTAAGTCAGAGTATGGAAGCTTCATCACAATAACCTTCTTCAATGATACAGTGCACCCATCTGTCCTTAATGGAATAGCCCCAAATGTCTCTGAATAAGAGCAAAGAAGCTCCCAACTCTCGAGAGCTCATACCTCTGGAGATCTCCTGCCTCTCCTCCTGTCAGAATCCTTTACCCTGTCTGGAAAAGCTGGCTTTGCCACCATCTCCCCTGTTGTTGGGCTAATTTGTCGACCAGGGTCTCCAATGGGGGGACCTCCAGGGGATGGGCCCTTGGCGAGGCACTGTGTACTGCAGTTTTTAGAGGAGAGAGGCTGAACTCTGAGCCAAGGAAGCAACTAGTCCTTGGTAAGCCAAAAAGAAAAATATAGCAGCCTACTAGGAGTTTGGACAGGAAAAAGAACTGGGCATCTAGAGAAAAAAGGGAGGTATTTATAATTATTGATTTGATTCATGTCCAATGGGAATGAATGGAGGAGTTAACCTGAGAGCAGTGCTGCCAAGGCCATTACTGGGAAAACAGCATTGTCAAAGTGTAGGTGTAGTAATGTGTGATACTTCGTGTGTGTCTTGCAGTTTATGTCTAGCAGTGTGACTATATGTGTGTTTAGCAATGTGTGTGAGCCTTGCAGTGTATGTGGCAACTGTATACCTTGGCTGTGTGCATTTCAGGGGTACCCAGTGGTGTATTTTGAATTTGTGCGGCCCTAGGCATGACAAAACTTGGGCACCCCAGCTCAGATGACAGTGCTCCCTCGCCGCCCGCGTTGTGAAAGGCTTGAATGCCTCTGGGGGGGATCCTGAGGTCCCCCACAAGAGAGGCTAACAGGGCACATGTCAGGGCACTTGGGGGGTGTCACTATGCCACCGACACACTGGCATAATGCAGGCATCCAAACACAGTGACGTCAGAAACCATTCCTATACTCCTTAGCCAGCACTAGTAGCACCACCCAGGGGGTTACCAGAGCAACCACAGCGCACTCACTATGGAGAGTAGGACTGCCTATAGGTGGTCTCTTCTGCTCTCCTTTATCAATCAATCCCTCAGCATAGAGTCTATTGCCTATGCCATAGAGTTGATTGACAGGTGGGAGAAAGCCTATATTTAAATAGGGTTTTTCTCTCAATCTATACTTTTGCTAGCAAAACTACAAGCACAATATATAGATGAGATCAGATGCTCCCCAAAAAGAGCACAAGTAGTTTTGGGCATGACAGGTAGCCATTACAAAAAAACAAAACACAGGACCAGCACACCAACACACTTCTTGTTTGGGCAACCTCTGCTAAAAAGTTACCTACTCATTCTGTGAATATATAGCAACCTACAGAACATCTTGCGAACAGTAACGTAACAGAGTAATTTATTGTAAAAGCTGAGCTGTCAATTCGAATATTTTGTGTAACTGATAGCAGCCCTCCCATAGCCTTTAACAAGGGGAGGGAAAGCGAAACTGTCACTTTGTCAGAAGTGACAGTTCCTGTAAAATCACTGCCTTGCTTAGATTACAAAGCATACCCCATATAGAACGCAGGAAATCGACAGCCATACTGTAACCATGGCTACTGCATACATACAGGAACTTGTGTTTAGGAAGGAAAACATAACATAACCCGCAGAGCTCACATTCCTTTAACCCCTTCACCACAGATAACTCACTTGTTACCCACGTAGATTCGAGGAAAAACCTCATTTATGTCTTCTGAAGGCAGGGCATAAAGACCGCAACTGGTCGACAGCAGGTCATTGAGCGCGATTACCGACAACTCATAATCCGACATTCTGTGGAAAGAACACAGCGGCCTATCAACACTCCTTCCACGATTCTCCCGAGTCACTCTGGTTGGGTAGGCGGGCTTTAAATAGTAGAATTGACTAACCATTTATGGTGGTTGCTGGCCAATAGGAAGGTTAACACAAATTGCAGATGAACGTGTTGATCAAAACTATGTTAGTAATGTTGCATGCAAACCCAAAATGCTGTGAAAAGGTCATTGTATTCCAGCGTTTCCTTGTTGTCATACGTGCAGAGTTTACACAAACAGCGGACTATTCACTGTAAGGGGCATTGTCACAGGTGACTTTAAACTGGGTTTATTCACTAAATAGTGAAATAATGTGATTTCGAAAAGGTTTATTCACAAAATAAAACATCAAGGAGACCTCAAAATTAGTTATAACATAAACAATGGACAGAACCACTTCAGATCTCATTAGGAGATCTGAAGTGATTCTGTCGTTTTTTTTTTTTTCTAATCAGTTAATGTAAAAATGTTTATAAATTTTTATTTTTTTTATTTCTACTTTGTTTTTTCGTTTATTTTGGAAAACAAAAAAAACTTTTGTTTAAGCTCTTAAAGGACCACTATAGTGCCAGGAAAACATACTCGTTTTCCTGGCACTATAGTGCCCTGAGGGTGCCCCCACCCTCAGGGACCCCCACCCGCCCGGCTCTGGAAGGGGGAAAGAGGTTAAAACTTACCTTTTTCCAGCGCTGGGCGGAGAGCTCTCCTCCTCCTCTCCGCCTCCGTTCCGCCCCGCCGGCTGAATGCGCACGCGCGGCAAGAGCTGCGCGCGCATTCAGCCGGTCGCATAGGAAAGCATTTACAATGCTTTCCTATGGACGCTGGCGTGCTCTCACTGTGAAAATCACAGTGAGAAGCACGCAAGCGCCTCTAGTGGCTGTCAATGAGACAGCCACTAGAGGATTAGGGGAAGGCTTAACCCATTCATAATTATAGCAGTTTCTCTGAAACTGCTATGTTTATGAAAAAATGGGTTAACCCTAGAAGGACCTGGCACCCAGACCACTTCATTAAGCTGAAGTGGTCTGGGTGCCTAGAGTGGTCCTTTAAGGACAGAGGCAATTGTCCAAGTGCTTTTCAAGTTTCTTACCATTTGGGACCAGGGCTGTTTTTACATTTCTGCGGTGTTTGTATTTAGCTGTAATTTTCCTCTTACTCATTTACTGTACCCACACATATTATATACTGTTTGTCTCGCCATTAAATGGACTTTCTAAAGATACCATATTTTCATCATATCATATATTTTACTATGTACAAAAATTATACAATATGATGAAAAAATGTAAAAGAAAACACTTTTTCGAACTTTGACCCCCAAAATTTGTCGAGCATCTACAACCGCCAAAAAACACCCGTGCTAAACAGTTTCTAAATGTTCTCCTGATTTTAGAAATACAGGAATACCTCGCTTAACGCTGTAGATAGGTTCCAACTGCTATGAGTGCTAAACAAAACAGCTCTAAACGGGAAAGTTTAACATGGGGAAGATAGGGATAGGGAATCAACTTTGAAAAAAAGACACATCAATAGAATTTTAAAACTTTTTTTACTTGCTGTGAACTGCACACAGCAGCATAAATAAAAAGCTAAATAAACTAAGGGTTTTGCACCCAATAAATTAAATAAACAGTACCAAATTAAAGTAACAGTCCAAAAAAAAAAAAAAGGTTTAAATGGTGCATGTGGAAGCTCCAGGGTCCTCCTCCTGCCTTGTTTTGTTGGCCACAAATTGGTCAAGGGTCATTTGTCTATGCTTCTTGCAGCTATCCAGCAGATGGCGGTAGCAAGACACTCCTCCCAGCACAATGCGCCTTGCATTCCTGCTCCTAGTTGCATCAGGACCATTGGCCACCAGCTCATCCATTATGTCATTGACCTGTTTAGGAGCTCAGAGGAAAGCTCTTTTGGAGGCTCAGTGTCCAAGTCGCTGGTGTCCTGAGGTTTCTGTTTGTCCTGTTCAGCCAGTTCTTCAAGGTCCTCATTGTTAAGGCTCTCGCCTGAAGCCTGGACTAACTGCTCAATGTTCTGAGCATCTGTGTCTCCTAGTCCAGCCGTGGTCACAAGGTCAACTATCTCCGCTATGATGGGCTCTGGTAGTTGCACATCCTCACACAGCTCTAGCCAGATCTTTTTCCACACAGCCTTGAGGCACTGCTGTCACCTCCTTCCAGGAAAGATCAATGTTGGAAACAGCCTTCATGATGTAGTACTGCTTCCAGAAGTCCAACATTGACTGCTTGTCCTCGCGGTCCATGTGTTCAATCAGCTGATGGAATGTGCGGCGGAGATAGTAGGCCTTGAAGGTGGCAATCACCCCCTGGTCCATAGGCTGGATAAGCAACGTTGTGTTGGGCGGTAGGAACAGGACCTCCACAGGAATGCAGGTGGGCAGCTCAGCCAAGTTAGTCAGATGGCTTGGCGCATTGATGAGCAGCGCTTTCTTCTCCAGTCCCTTGCGCCGACAATAACGCTGCACGGAAGGACAGACATGGTCAGTGAACCACCCTGTAAAAATATCTCTGGTGCTCCATGCCTTCCTGTTTGCCTTCCAAATGACTGGCAAGCTGGACTTGCTAATGCCCCTCATTGCCCTCGGTGTCTGGTAGTGGTACACCAGCAATGGCTTTATACGGAAGTCACTGCTGGCATTCCCACCCAAAAGAAGAGTCAGCCTGTCTTTTGCCGCTTTAAAGCCCGGTGCTCTCTTCTGCTCCCTGGAGATGAACGTGCGGCTTGGCATCCGCTTCCAGAAGAGCCCAGTCTCATCCACATTGATGACAACCTCCGGTGGATAGCTCCCTCTATCCACCACCTCCTTTAAAGAGGCTGGAAAAGATGCAGCAGCTCCAGTGTCTGCACTTGCCGCTTCACGGGTGATCTTAAGGTTGTAGAGGTTGTACCTTTTCTTAAAGCAGTCAAACCAACCTCTACTTGCTGCAAAACTCTCCATCACATCTGGATCTTGACTCTGTATGTGAGCGAAAATGCTCTTCGCCTTCTCCATCAAGATGGCCTGGCTGAGAGGCATGTTACGCTCCAGCTCATCATCTATCCATATGGAAAGCCTCTTCTCCATCTCCTCAAGAGCGTAGGACCTGGAGCGGGTGATCTTCTTGGCTGAAGAAGCAGTGCTGGTGGTCGCTAAAGTGCAGATCTTATCCTTGTTTTTGAGGATAGTGCGTATAGTGGAGGTAGGCAAATGGAGATCTGCCCCGATATCCACCTGGCGCTCTCCTTTATCCAGGCGGTCCAGTACTTGGATCTTGACATCCAGAGGAATACTCTGGCGTTTGCCTTTAGCCTGTTCCTCTTTGCGCTCAGACATCTGTAAAACAGTATAAAAATACAATGAATGTAGATTTTCATTATGCAACACAATGGAACAACGACAATACAGTATTCTGTACTGTACCTTGCCAGCGGATGTTCTCTGCAGGATTTGGGGGTCCTTGATAACAATCACTAGATGTGACTCTATCTCTAGAGTCACATTATTAAAAACAAGTGAACAAAGAGTATTCTGTACCTTGCCAATGGATTTTCCAGGTTGGATTTTTCTCATCTAGTCTACTAGACAGCCACTAGAGGGCACTTCCGTGATTATAGCACCTGAAAAGTGTGCCATAGCGTCGCTGAAATCCCCATAGGAAAGCATTGAAAGCAAAAAACCAGGGTGGAGGTGTTCTTTTATATAAATCTTTAACTTCAGCAAAGACTATGTCGTGATCCGACCAAGTATTTTCTTTAACTATGATTGTCATTATAGCATTTACAAGGCCTAAATCTCCCAACATCATGTGAATTCTCTGGGCCAAGATATGTGGAATAGATCTATGTGTACCGTTTTAATTGTTTGTGTGAAACAAACTCCAAAAATTGTAGAATTCATTTTTTTATTCAGTCTATTCAGTGTACCTGCCTGTTTTGTTAGCTTACTATCCAGTCTGCTGATCGGACCCAGGAATTTGTCCATACTAGGGTCTGCCACACAGTTGAAATCTCCTGCAATCAAGATTCTACCCTTTTCAACTGGTTCTACTAACTTTTACATTTTTGTTAGCCGTTTGATCGGATCCTTATTAGGCAGATAGCTATTTACTAATGTGTAATCTAGCCCATTTAACTGTCCAACCAAAATAATCTAAGTTTTGATATTGGCACTGAAATTTAGTGTCACTATATAAAATTATAGCTACACCACACTTCTTTTTTTTCAGTGAAGCAGAGTACCGGTATATTGTTGGATATTTCCTATAGTTCCATAATTGTCTAGCCTCAGTAATCCAGTGGGTCTCCTGTATGAAACCTATTTGAACGCTCTACCTTATCAATGTATCATACAGGAAACTCCTTTAAAGAGGGGAATTGAGACCCTGAGCATTAATTCAAGGATTTTACCATTATCATGACGGAAAGTCATGATTTTATTAAAGACCCGGAGGTTCCTATTATGCTGCACTCTTTCTTTAATTCCCTCAGCAGCAAAGAAACATCATTTGAAAAAAAAAAACATTTGAAACAGGTATAACATCATAGTGACAGTGTCAGCCTAGTAACATGACCATCCAATCAGTGACATCCTTCTCCTATAGTAGGCGGAGCATTGATGACCATTTCCTCTTTCTTGCGAATCCGAAGAATAATTCAAACTCAGAACAAGATAACCGAATAAACCAAACGAGCCATAACAAGGCATGTGATTCCGAGAGGTATTTCAACCAAGTCACGCTAAAAGAAACAAGAAAATATGGTAATGTCTTGAAATCATGGGTTGTCATCATATATAGAGGTCTAAACGTCTGACTAAACAGTGACAACACTTCATAAATGTAGTAAGAGGCAACTACCAGTCCGAGGACAATAGTGACAATAGAATTTCAAAATTAAATAATGCCTTAAAGCAATGTAGATATTGATGGCATCAGTACCGCCAAATTAAACTTACCATGGAGAGGTCTGTAACTTACCTTGACCCACCTCCGAACCGGCCAAGGGCGGGTGGGTGGGATAATACTCGCCTCCGTGTCTTTAATAAAATCATGAATTTCCGTCATGATAATGGTAAAATCCTTGAATCTTATTAAAGACCCGGAGGCTCCTATTATGCTATTTCAAAGCTGTGCTATCATGGCTTCTGCGAAATGCTAGATTGGTTTGAAATAGAAATTATGGAAAGTAGATTCCGCTGACCAATCAGCCACCTTCAATATATCCTCCAAACGACAACCAGT